CCGCTGATCACCTGGTGCCCGTCGGCGCTGAAGGTGACCGCATTGACGAAGCTGCCGTGGCCCTTGAACTCCTTCAGCCTCTTCCCTGACTTGAGGCCGTGGATACGGACGGTAAAGTCGTAGCTGCCGCTCAGCAGCTGCGTCCCGTCGCGGTTGAACTGCAGGCAGTTGACGCCGCCGGAGTGGGCGCCCTCAAAGGCGCGGACCACCGTCCCCGACCCAACTGACCAGACCTTGATGGCGCCCGAGGCGCCCCCAGTAGCCAGGTGCTCCGAGTCGCGGCTGAAGGCGAGGCTGAGGACGGCGTCGCCGCTCTTCAGGTACATGAAGCGGTCCTCCGCCTGGTACTTCAGGTCCTTGCGCACCTTCCCGGTGATGAAGTTCCACACCTCGATGAAGCCGTCCACCGTCCCCGTCACCAGGTACTGCCCGTCGGGGCTGAAGGCCGCCGACTCGACGTGCGCCTTCGCGCCGAACTTGATCACCTTCGAGAGACGCGTCGGATGCGTCTCCTCCTCCTCCTCGCGGATGGAGGTCTTCCCGCGGAAGAGGTCAATGGAGGAGCCGGTGGGCAGGAGGCCCTGGTACTGCTGCCACCGAAGGGCCTGTCCTGTTGAAAAGTAGGAAAAAGCTGGGTCAGTTGGGTCATTTCGAAATGGTCAAATCAGAGCTCCGACATCTTACCTAGAAGTGCGAGCAGTCGTGACGACTCGACCACCGTGACCTCGCTGGCGAGCTGGGCGGCGATGGCCGCCCTCCTCTTCTCGCGACTGCTGCCCTCCGGGTAGGCCTCCTGAGTGTCGAAGAAGCTCTTCGCCAGCAGCTGCTCCAGGTGGAGGAAGCGCTCCGGATTGTCCGCCTTCAGCCGGGCCATCGGATCGGTCTGGCGGAGGAGGCTGCGGGCGGCGCCCAGCTCGCGCATCTCAATCAGCTCAATGACGATCTGCTCGTAGAGGTCCACTAGCTTGCGGTCGGGCAGGTTCAACTGTGAGATGACCTTCAGCACCACCTCCCAGTGGCCGGCGGTGATGTCGGCGACGAAGCCCTCGATCGAGTCGACGGTGTTCAGCGCGATGGAGGACTCCTCCTGCAGGGTGGCCAGCGTCCGGTGGAGGTTGTTCTCCTTCAGGAACTGCTCAATCAGGCGAACCACGTCCGCGGACTCGATCTCCAGAGACATTTTTGGCGGGAGTTAGAGAGAGGACTGAAAGAGAAGTGAATTTCGCCAAAAGAGCGTCAACAAAGCAGCGCAAATCAAAACATGCCGTCTCGTACTTTACGACAGGATTGTTCAGGACAGCTCGCCGAAAGCGGACAAACGGACAAAAGGCCGAAAAACGGAGCGAAGGAGGAGCCTAGATGAGGTAGGCTTGTCAGGAAGGCGGCAAAACCAGAATTTTCCAGAGCTGTTCGCAAAAAACGGCAGCAGCAGCGGTGACGGCATCTAGTGGCACTAGCGGTGAAGCTGTAGTTCCAAAAGTCACCAAGTGCTCCGGGTGGCGCTAAATCCGCGTCACGTCATCTGCGAGCGTCCCTCATTAAATCGTGTTTTTCCGCCAGTCTGACATGCCTACTCAGTTGAAAACAGCAAAATCACTTTGGAATCGCCAAAAAAGGATACAACCGCATCCCCGCCGAAGATTTACTACATCCCACGCATCCTGCTCCACACACTGAAAGCACAAAACACTGCTTATGCTCAAGTCATCATTTGTCTAGCAGGTTTAGTCGTCTTCTTCTTCGCCATCACTACCATTGCCAATGCCAAGTGGTGTAGGTGATCATGAGGAAACGATGATGGGAACAAAGTCTGAACTGAACTGAACTGAAATGAGGGAAGAGCAAAGTCAAGGCCTGTGATTGCAATCCTGTCCAGCCTGTCCACTACTACCTCCACAAAGAAACACTGGATACAAAACGCAGACACTTCGGGGCAAACGAAGAAGAATCATCAACAATTTCTTTCTTTCCTTCCTTCTCGACGATCAAATTCAGTGTAAAGGAGACGATGAAGAAGAAGAAACAGAGGAGGGAGTATACAGAGCAGTGAGACTGACAAGAATAGAAAGTGTGTGTGTGTGCCTAGAGAAAGAAAGAGTCAGGTAGATAGGTAAAGGCAGGCAGCAAGAATAAGGTAATCTATGTACAAAAAGAAGAGGAGGAGGAAGATGCGGTAAAGGGATCATCAGTTGATAGCACAAAAGAAAGAGAAAATGGAGACGAAGATCAAATGGAATGCAGTTCAGCGCAGCACCTCCTCTTGGAGACATTATATGGGCGGTGAATGAGAGTGTTAAAGTGACGATGAGCTGATGATGATCGGAGTTTAACAAAATTCGTTATCCGTACAGGTGTGTGAAAGAACAAAGAGAGAGGCTGCTGCTGAGGTTTGTTTGACTTGGACCAAAGAGGTGAGACGATTAAGTACGACCATCATCATCATCGAGTTGTCTTCTATCTGTCACACATTAGGACTTGATGGACTGCTTGGCGGCGGCGGCGGTAGGAGCCCCATTGGCCCCAATGTCAGTGACCATCTTCTTGGTGAGGACGCCGTCCTCAAAGACGGTCACCGTCTCGCGGCCATTCTCCATCACCCTAGGGATCAAGAAAAGTTAATAAAAGTGTCAAGAAAACACTGGACACCTGCACACTGGACACACTTACTTCCTCGTCTCGACCTTCTTTCCGTTGACGTACTTCGTCGAGGTGGTGGTCCGCTTCACATTGGGCTTCGGACCGCTGGTCTTGCCAGTGCCAGTGCCATTGCCCAGATCAGCGGCGTCCATCGGCTCCCCGAAGATGTCATCGGAGCTGAAGGTGGTGAAGGAGGAGTGGCAGTTGCCAAAGGGCTCCACAAATGGCTGCAGATTGCCAAAGGCAAAGCCAAAGCTGCTGAACGGACTGAAGGCATTCGGCGGTGCCTGGTGTTTGTGATGGTGGTGGCTGTGGTTGTGGTGGTGGTTGTGGTGGTGACTGTGGTGGTGGCTGTGCTTCGAGTGGCCATTGCCGTTGCTGAAGGGAAATCCGCTGAAGGGGTCACTGTTGTGGAAGAACTCCTTGAAGACGTCATTTGGATCACGGAAGTGGAAGAAGGTGCTGAAGATGTCCGGATCGGCGGTGCTGAAGTGGAAGCCATTGCCGCCGCCATGGCCAGAGCCGTCGTCGACGCCGTACACGTCGTACTTGCGACGCTTGTTCTCTGCAGAAAAGATGTGTTTGGTTAGAAACCTAAAAACGCGAACTGAGAATCATTCATACCATCTGAGAGTACTTCATAGGCTTGTGAGATTTGTTTAAACTGCCGCTCCGCCTCCTCCTTGTTCGAGGGATTCTTGTCGGGGTGCCACTTTAGTGCCAGCTTGCGGTACCTGGACCAAAAAGAGAGGGAAAAGGGATTATAATTGATGATAATATTGAGTTGCTGATGTACAACTTACGCCTTCTTGATCTCCTCCTGGGAGGCACTCTTCTGCACCTTGAGCACTTTGTAGTAGTCGACGGTCATCTTCGGCTTCGGGTCTGAACTGAGTTACTGAGTGGTAAATGCAACCGAGAAGAGAAGAGAGGACAGTGACAAAATGGAAAGACGAACGGTTGAGAAAATAGAAAGTGTAGTGCACAGTTCTAAAATAGAAATAGAAATGAAAATGGAAGAGCAAAGCAAACATTAGTAATCATCATCATAGTGGTGTACTCTATTTTAAGCGAATGTGAAGGAGGAAGCAAAAATACTGCCAGTCAGTCAGTCTCGTGCCAAGTTCATTGCGCCTGTGAGAGCACTATTCCTAATTGAGTGACTGACGGAAAGCATAAGACACCGAGAACCAATTGATTACCAGCAATGGTGGTAGTACTGTTGTTGTTATACAGTACGGTACAGAGTACAGCAATGCAGCGCAATTGTCACGCAAACAATGAACGGAGAGAGCAGAGCAGAGCAGACAGCTGCAGACGGCGGAAGGGAAGAGCAGAGCAAATGAGTGACAGCCGCGACTAGTGCACCAAGGGAACAACCAACCAACCAACTAACTACTTTACTCTACCTCTGACCAGAACAGACAGTTCGGTAATGAGCAGAGAGAGGTACAGGCCGGTGAATGAACCAGTGTGCCCATACTGGTCGATGACACTTTCCCACCCTCTTTTTCCCTCCTACCAATCAATATACGCCGGCATTGCAATTACGACCCTGCCAATCATCATCAGCAGTAGAAGGGGTTAGAGTACCCTAAGAGTACGCTAGCTTCCGCATTGCCTTCACCAGTGGGCAATAACGGTAGTGAATGGGCTCTCTTTCTGTTCATCACAGCAGTGAGAGCGAGATGTGCCGTCCACCTGGAAACAGACAGAGGCACACATCATAGCTGAAGAATTGGGTGAGGCAGGCAGAGAGTGAGAGAGAACTGCTACCACTGCCGATGCAATGGAGCTGCTGCTGCTCTTATCTAACCGAGGCAGCTTAGGCCAAGGACAGGTTTGAGGAGTGTGAGAGAGAGAGAGAGAGAGATTGATTAGCTGCTGCAGAGGCATTGTGGACGGGTTAGCAGACTGTCTGCAGTGAGAGAATGTAGGTGAGTGCTGCTGCTGCCGCTGTGAGATGGACTTCATCGGCAAAGGCTTACGGGCAAAAAGTGTCACAGATAACACACAGCTGAGACAGACTGAGACAGTGCGTCGTACGGGGCGATACCTTTCTGGCGACAAAATGGATTGCAAATCGTTCAGTGAGTTGAGGGCCGTGTCCGGTGCCACTGTCAGTCAACAACACACTGACCTGGGTGGAGAGGACAGGTGTGCAAACACAGACAGACAGAGGATGAAAGGTGCTAACCTACATTCAGGGCACACTTTAAACAGAGACAATGGCAGAGGCAGAAGTATTGCGGTCAACGAGCATAGGAAACGGCTGCAATGGCTGCAGAGGCAAAGTGAAGTATTGGGCAAACACAGATAGAGTTCGAAATGGCCAACAATAAAAGCTGGTTCCAGTTTGTTTAGGGACTTACGTGGACTGTGGTGATTGAGAGGATGACTTAAAAGGGAAGAGGTGATCGGAGTGAAATGGTTGCTGAAGAGGGAACCAGAAAGAATCGGAGGCTAGAACTTTGGCAGTTGGTGAGCACCAGCGAAGAGGATCATGACCAGGCAGAGAGTTCGTATCGTTGGATTTTGAGAGGCACACTACGACCACTGCTTCGCCAGCAGCACACACTCGTCAGCTCCTGGAGAACACAGCTGCAGAACTCAGGTGGTGGTGGTGATGATGGTGATGCTGGTGGTGGCCAATGTTTGATGGTGGTGGTGGGAGCAGACTGGCTCTCTCCTCGACTGGACGACCACTGCTGCACGATCTGCTGTGATATCCTGAGGTGAGAGAAAGAGAGTCGGATTGAGCTGCTGTTACTGCTTTTGCTGCTGCTATTGCTGCTGCCGTTGCCGTCGTACCGACGTCCTCCGTTCTCCGTCGTCGTCGTCGTTGTCGTCTATCAACTTCGGCACTGTGCCACAGTCTCTGCTGTGTTCTGCTGAAGACAATCTCCTCGTTGCAGCTGTGCAGTGGTACGACTGGCCTGAGGCTGCTCCTACAGCTCTCTCTACGAGCGCACGCACTCGCTCGCTCGCTCGGTCATTCACAGAGACAGTACACAACAGAAGAGGCGATCGAGAAAGTACGAGAAGAGGAGACCAGACCAGACCAGCAAAAGTCATCGTCATCAAACCCAAACTTCGAAGAATGCAGACCACCGGCGGCAAGTTGATCGGCCTGATCGGCGACGAGGACAGCTGCGTGGGCTTCNGGCGATCGAGAAAGTACGAGAAGAGGAGACCAGACCAGACCAGCAAAAGTCATCGTCATCAAACCCAAACTTCGAAGAATGCAGACCACCGGCGGCAAGTTGATCGGCCTGATCGGCGACGAGGACAGCTGCGTGGGCTTCCTGCTGGGCGGCATCGGCGAGCGCAGCCCGAAGGAGCCCGCCTTCAACTTCCTGGTGGTGCACCCGGAGACGGGCGCCGAGCAGATCAAGGGCGCCTTCGAGGCCTTCCTCAAGCGGGGCGACATCGACATCATCCTCATCCAGCAGAACATCGCCGAGCTGATCCGCGCCGAGATTGACGCCCACACGGCGCCCATTCCCGCCGTGCTGGAGATTCCCAGCAAGGGCGCCGGCTACGACCCGCACAAGGACAGCGTCCTCAAGCGCGCCAAGGGGCTGATTGAAGGTCGAGCCTAATTGAACGAAGTCCTCCTCCTCCTCCTCAGTACCAGCAGTATTCCACTCTCCATTCCACTCTCTCCATTCCAGTCAATATTGATTCTCTTCGGCAAACACAGACCCTTCTCCGTTGTTGTTGTTATTCCCTCCCTTGTTTTCCTTTCAATGTGATTACCTACCTAAATGCAATTAAAGTGTGCTCTATTGTGTTATTTCCCTCTGTCTGACCATCTGGTGTGCCATCTGTGTGGACATTGCCATGGTGACCACCACCAGTGCACCGTTCCTGGATCAAAGACCGCCCAAAAAAGAAACTGCGTACTAATCACCACCCGAACCGTACGTGACTGGTCATCAGGTGCAGCCTCTAATGCGTCGCAGCCTCATTCACGTACCCAGCGTTTAGTGAACGAATGGGTTCAGTGACACTATTTCGGTGCAGGGAATCGCTGACAGGTGAAATGGAGGGGGCGTGTTTGGTGAATTAATGTAAGGAAAGGAATAGGCCTGTCAGTCTGGCTGAGATACCAGATTTTATCGGGGGCGCTCGCAGAGGGCGTGACGCGGATTTAGCGCCACTAGGAGCACTTGGTGACTTTTGGAACTACAGTTTCCACATCAGGACCGATAGATGGCTCTCCGAGCTGTTAAAAACAAAAATGAGCGACGCTGCTGTCGCCATCTGTCGTCACTAGTGTATAAGTAAAAGTAAAAGTAACTAAAGTTTCTCCGCCAGTGCCAATAGATGGCGACAGCGGCGTCGCTTATTTTTGT